CAGCGGTTTCTTCCCGGTCTCTCTTGTCTTTCTTGACGCTGCTCCTTCATCCGAGGAAGATCTGTAAGCCAGTTCGTTGTCAGCTGCGGCGTATTCTGAATCAATAGGATGGGAGCAGGCAGGACGAACAACGTTTCCTCTTGCAACCTCAAGAAGTTGGCATTCATTGGTCTCCCACGATGCCGTACGTCCTTTGACGATTCAAGACCTTGTCCACAAGCAGTCGTTGCTCCCAGAAAGACCTACGCGAGGCTATTAATGGAATGTCTTTGAACATTGAAGCTGGTGTCCATAAAGGAATCGAGACATTGGCGAGCCCTTTGTCGCGTTAGTCGGAAGAAGCTAGAGATCAAGTCAGCTGAGACGGTAGGCTCGTAGTCGTACCAGGGGAGAGGAGCCAGGCAGCTCGAAACCTCCCACTGAGGTGTTTCAAATTGCGTGGCTGCGATTTCATCTGAGCAATCGTCTTTTCGTCAGCGAATCTCACTTTCCACCGCGGCGTATGCGGATGGAATCACTGGAACGGGGCGGCGACTGGTGTGAACGTGTCATCTTGAGGATTTTCTTCTATGTACATGCGAAAAGACGAAGCAAAGGACAGAGTATAAGAGAGAGAAAAGACAGGAGAAGAGAAAAGGGAAATGAAAAGAGAAAGGAAATGACAGAGGAAAGGGGTATGAAGGCTTGAGTCTTCATTAAGACATAAAAAGCAGAAAAGGAAAGAGAGAAAACGCAGAAACCAAAGACCAAAAACCCCAATAATAATACCAAGCATTTCCCTCGCGTCACCATAAACTGGTGATCATTTCTCGTGAGTCACTCTTGGGCCCCGAACCAAGAGTACACGACGTATCTGGCTTGATGAGTGTGGTGTTGGTGGTAGATGCTGCGGACGACGACAGCGACGGCGACCGCCGACACAGGACGGCCGGGCTGGATGACACCAGCAACAGCACCTTCCTCACGACGGCTTATTCAACGGATCTCTGAGCACCATGCCGCAAAACTTGCTCATTGGGACTTCGGCGTAGGAAGGTGGATTTGCGATCCTCTTGCCCGTGTCGAAGTGAAGGAATTGACCGTCGAGGACCTTCTCAGGCAGGTCCATAGCTTCCTTCCGTCTGAGTGGCAACTTGCAGGAGAGGGCGAGGCATGACTGAACCAAGACCAACCGTCCCTTGTTGTCCTTTTTGGCTACGAACGACTGGACAATATGGTCCAGACGCCGACGCGGATGGGTGGCTTCGGTGGGCGCTTCTTGTCGCTGCGCGCCTTCTCGGTATCATCTTGCTTGACGGACTGCTCCTGCTCTTTCGCCTTCTCTGGGTTCTTCTTCGCGTCCTCTTTCTTCTTGGTCATCTTCCAGGTCTTGCGGACTGTAGACTCCCCGCGCGCTGAAGGCCGGTCCAAACCTGTCGCTCATATGATCTCGCTCTGCTGTCGACATTTCTTTGACCATTTTCTTCCAACCGGGCTCATCGTCTTTGGTGAACGCAATGCGTTGATTACGACGAATGACTCTCACCTCCAGCCAGGAGTCGAGGTCTTCGAGGGTAGCGCCCAGAAACACATAATGGACTTGGCTGCCTCCTGGGCCTGAAACGGTTCGCGCCCCGGAGCAAAAGGACGTCACCGATGGCAGACATGACGATATGCCCGTCGGAACAGTAGGTCGAACGTTGGTTGTGCCTGGGGGGGCGTGCCAGCGATGGACGTCTTGCACCGTCGCTTGGCCTCGGGCCAGGTTTCCGAGGCGGACAAGCTCCGTTGGGATTCTCACTGTATTCCACAGGTTAGTCAAGACAGGGTTCTGGTACTACACGGAGATGGGTTTGAAGCAGTTGACCTTTGGGCCGTCCCGGTGAGCAGCGGCATCCATCTCCTCCAGGATGGCAAGCACGTCTTGGGTGGCGGTTTTCGCTTCGTGGGAGTCGTAGTATTTTTCGATGTTGAACCAGTCGACATATGGCTTTGCTGGACTGCTCGAAAGATTGGTGCTATCGAGCCATATGTTGTAATTGTGCGTCGCGGCCGGGGAAATGTTGGGTCCTATATTGCGTCAGCCCCTTCCTCTGTTGGCCTGCGCCTGTGTCAGAACCTTCAAGTTAGCTGTCTTACCAAGGTGGCATCTCAACGACCGCATGGGACGGCAGAGCACATCGTCCCACCTGTCAGGCGAGCGATCTTCAGACGCGGAAGGAGCAAGCTCCTGCAGGAAGTTTCTGATGTGCACGTCTACCCGTTTCTCGTGCTCTGGGCGGTAGCGTTTGATTTCCTAGTAAAAGAAGAGGAATGTGTCACTCCATCGGAGGGAACTCATTTTGGGCAGAAGATATGCTGCGATCAATAGTGACGAAGGAAGAAGGAGACGAAGGAAGAAGGAGACGAAGGAAGAAGGAGACGAAGGAAGAAGGAGACGAAGGAGACGATGCTCGTCAGGAAGGAAGGGCTAGGTGCATATGTTGCGACAAACTTCTCAACGGACACGTATGATGGATTTATACTGACCGAAGAGGTATCTAGATGGGTGGGCGTTTTTGTGGCGGACACCTTCGCCAACCTTGTTGTCGCGATAGGCAGGCCCGGAGCCCAATCTTGTGACGAGAACAAACTTCGAGTGCAACGAAGACAGCTGGGCGTTTGAGATCTCAAGAACACATAACTTATTCAAATTCTTGCCTCGGCTATCTACGAGCGGAACATGTTGAATGTTTCTTTCCCGTTCTGATCCGTTCCTTGAATCCTTCCCAAAGCTAACCCGTCACCGAGAGAGTCTCAGATGTGGCAGGAATGTCGACCCCATCGCAGAATTCCCCTTTAGTTGAAATGGGTCGCAGGCCAAAGTTCCTGACTGCTTCCCAAAGCTCATAATTCACTCTCAGCGTGTCTTCCGCTTCGGAAAGAGGCCACTGTTCGAATCGGCGATCCAAAATATCGCACAGGGATAGCAATCGGCCCGTGCGACACATCTCGTCCACCCAAAACAGCATGCCAGTGAAGATGCGCTTTCCTAGATTGATTGTGTGTCTCGTGGCGTAGTACTCTGCACAACCAGGCGAGTACCCATGAAGCGGAATACAACACTGATCGAGGTGCTGGAAGGGCCTCAATTGCGCCAAGCTAGCGCCTTTGGACTGTTGAAGCACAATATCGACGGATTCTGCGACTGCGCCATCCAGTAATCCGATGCGTGACAGCGGACGCTGACAGGTAATTGCGCTCCAGCTGTGGTTTCCTTGGCATTTGAGACTTTCTGGTTGATACTTCCAAACGAGCTTCAAGAGGCGGTCGGCTTGCGCTGGTGGGGGCATGGTCCATTGATCGGTGCGGTGAAGTCGTCCAAATTCGTTCAGGAACGGGTTACCTGTCCAAGACTGTATCCAACCCAACCGCTCTGCATTATGGTGTTCATAGACTGTGTTTATGTGTGACATGAGTGTGAACACTTGCTCTCTGGGATTTGCGCTGAGTTGCCGGTAGATGATAGGCTGTAGGTCCAGCCAGTCAACGAAAAGCCAGTCAACGAATGGTTCAGAACGCTGGGGTTCGCCTACTTGGCGCAATAGCCAGTGAAATCTAGTAGGTATCTGCCCCGGGTCGGTTCTGTAGCCTGTGACATATTAGCACATCATCTGATGTAGAGCAATTTGGACATTATACCTACCTAGAAGACATGTCAAGGATCGCATCAGGTGACAGAGTAATGTATCCCATGGCGAGGGGTCCTGGCTCGATGTGATATTAGGTTCTTTGCGTTGGAAATAGTCTATGATCAGGCGATCTATGTTTTCAGCGTCGGCCGGTCGATATCGTCGAATGTCCCAATAGAGGAAGAGAAAGGAGTCCATCCAAATGATCTTACTGAAGGCAGATCGATAGTAATCCATGACGTCGCACCGGTAGTGCTAAACAACTCGATTTGGGTCTTTAAACAGAAGTGATGGAAGCGGGGACGCGTTGCTTTATACACCGAGCGTGAAGGTTATTCTGATAGCGAAAATGGATTCCATAGGCTGAAGCTAGAATATAGTTCAGTTTGTTGAACTCTGCCCCAGAAGCATCGATCGAAACGACTGGTGTCTCCTCCGAGGCTCCAGTGTCGACGAAGCTTTGTACTTGGTACTTCAATGTTGGAGCGATCCTAAAGCACCCGTGGATTTTGTTTCAGACACCTTGACAACAAGGATTGGAAGGACAAGGAAGATGAAAACGCGATGACGATGAAAAAGAGGACTACAATGACGGCGACAAACAGCAAGGACAACAAAGACAAGGACAAATAGCATGAGAATAACAAAAAAAGAGAAAAAGAAAAATTCATCTCACGGATTATTGAGAAGATTTTAAATGAGAAGGCACAGAAATCGACTCCAGAAGCAGTAACAAGCCAAGCTAAGGAACCCGAGTGAATCATGGCGTTGAGGAGAATACAGGTAATTACCAAGTCTTTTAGGCATGGGAGCCAATGTAATCCTCTTAGCAAATAGCTTGGATGAGTCTTTGAACTCGGTCAGCAAACGACAAAACGCATGGTTAAAGACTTTCCTATGAGAGCCAGACCTTCCCTGTGCAACTCATTAAGCGTTCTTTTAGCTTACAGAGGCCATTTCCTACCTACTTTTATGGGGTCTTTCATGACAGAAGAGAGCTTGTGGGAGCATGATTGAGTGTTGTTAATAAACGGCGAAGTGTCTCCCTACCCAAACTTCCAAGTCAGCATCTTGGTGGATCGTCAATCTCATGAGCATGTCGCACGACTTCATCTGAGCTCATTTTTGTCGAAATGTTACGCATTTCTGCGAGAGCAGCCCGTCACATTGATTCTTGTGCCTAGTTTTCTTGATTGCTGATATCCATGAACCTTCACAGGTGTTGAGTGAAACCCTCGGTGATATCTTCCGTCCACGCCATTTCCGAAATAAATGGCTCTGATTACAAACCTCAACTATCAACTCGAACTATGGGAGTGCTTGACCATCGGTCTACTTGCACTCGACCTCATGATCACGCTCTACGGCCTTGGGTCTGAGATGCCCGACGCTGTTCTCCCGCAATCCGAAGCGGAGAGCGTCATGGTAGTTGCCGTCAAAGAGCTTCTTCTCCTCATGCAGCTGCTGCAAATTTTACTTCCTGCCTATCCAGGCAGCGATTCCGAGAATATCACACCTTCGAACATTTTCAGAGAGCGGGCGGCCTGCAAGTGGATCGGCGGCCTTTTCGGAACACACAGCGCAGAGTTCGCAGACTTAGTACCCAAGCTTGGCGACGATGAGCTCAAGACATTTGGATTATTCATCGTTCCGGTGGCAGCTGCTGTGGTTTGGAAGTGGAGGAGATTGCAGCGGCGTTTGCGCGCTGCTACGAGACAGGAGGAAGCGGCTTTGATTGCGAGGGTTTTCCGCGTTTGGGATCGGGGAGATGGCACCGGCGTGTGAAATTGCAACCTCAGTCGTGAGTTCCTTCTGAGAGGCTTCCATCTCGACGAACGTGATTGGAGATAATCGCCTTGAAACTAGCTTACTCTAAGTGAACAGGCCAGAATTACCTTTTCAAATAAGGGAAGTTTGAAAACGCAAGCTCAAACCTGACCCGCTTGAGGGAATTGGGGAGGACATAATATGAACATTGACGACCGGCAACCAAGAATTGGTCTACAAATAAACATTATCACTCTCTACTAGAATAAAATTGGGCAATTCTCAATCTTCCTCGGGTGCTACAGAAAACTGAACATGCCTGATGACCGGTCGAAAGCTCCAGCATCATGTCCAATACTTCCACACTTGGCGATACCTTGCAGGGTCAAAGTGTAGATGCCTTCACTTCTATCAACCTGTCAAAGCCAAATAAGGATTACAACTTTCAACTATCCAGAATTAAGCAAAGATTTGAAGATCACGTGGAATCACCCAGAACTCAACAAGAGATTGTCATCCTTTCATTGGATTTACCACATATAGGTTGTTCACTCTAGGCGCTGGGTTCGTTCCTTCCTCTTTGCGCGCCTCTCCTTCCTGAAAGGCGAGAACCGTCTGAACAGAGATTTCTTTCACCTCACCCCGCCCCACGCAGTGAATTCCAGACTCACCACTCCCTCAATAAAATAATTCGCGTCGCAGTCACCACCCAAAGCTTCTTCCCACAAACCACCACAACAAACAAATCTCTCCCATACAACTCACAAACCACAACCTCAAGACAAAGATATACACCAACATCCACCAACACAATCATGGTCGCCACTATCGCCATTTATACTCTTGGCGGGCTCTGGTAAGTTTCCCCCTCACCTCTTCCGGCGCGCCTTCCCCAGACTCACCTGCTTGTTCACAGGATGTTCTACCTCTTAGAGGAGGACAAGACCAAGCGTCTCGCAGAGGCCTACACGCCCATTCCTCTCCCCGATGAGCCTACCTACAACAGCAGTGATGTCAGCATCATTGTTCCCACCATCAACACTCCTGACGAATTCACAGACTGTCTTCGTCTGTGGCTTGCAAACCAGCCAAAGGAGATCATTATCGTAACCATTGAGCGCGACCTCCAGCGCGTCTACGACCTGGTTCGCCCTGTGGTTACTGAGGGAGATGAGCGCATCAGCCTCATGACTGCCGATGTCGCCAACAAGCGCGAGCAGCTGCTTGTCGGCATCAAGCACGCCAAGGGCAAGATTCTCTCGCTGGTTGACGATGATGCCTTCTGGAAGTACCAAGTCCTTCCCCACCTCCTGGCTCCCTTTGAGGACCCCAAGGTCGGTGGTGCTGTTGGCAAGCAAAGGTATGTCTAACCGCTTCCCAATCTTCTGTCATCTTTTCTCACCGAGTTTCCAGTGCCCATATCCCCGTCGCCCGCCGCAACCCCAACGTCATCACCCCCTGGGAGGTTGCCTCTCTCCGTTCTCTCGAGAACCAGAACAATGTCCAGGCTGTCCGATTCACCGCAGATGGTAGCGTCTTCTGCCTCGTCGGTCGCACCCTCATGATGCGCGCCGAGATCGCCCAGGATCCTCGTTTCCAGTACGAGATCACCCACGAGTACTGGTGCGGCAAGCGTCAGAACACTGGTGACGACGTCTTCATCACCCGCTGGCTGCTCACCGAGGGATGGAAGATGTCCATTCAGAATGCTCCCGAGGCGGAGATTACCACCCTGGTCATGCGCGACAGCGCCCTCCTGCGTCAGATGGTCCGCTGGCAGCGCAACGCCATCCAGTCCTTCCTGGTGACTGTCGTCTACAAGCCTGGTCTGCTCCAGCTCTACAAGTACGTCTCGTCTCCCGCGGTGCCCATGATGTTGTACTGATAGCTTGGTAGGAAGCACCCCTACATGGCTCGCAAGCTCGTCGAGCGTCTTCTTCGCCCCATCATCGCTTGGGTCCATATCATCGCCTTCATCGTTGGCGTTTACCAGAAGTCGCCCGTCGCGTAAGTACCACCGACGTCTCCCAGCATGATCATGTACTGACATACTTTACCAGCTACTTCGTCGGCATGTGGTACCTTTTGTCCATGATCGCCACTTACCGCGACTTTGTTCGCCGCTACCCCTGGGCGAAGGGCCACCTTGGCGCTGCCATTCTTCTCGACATCTGCTACCCGGTTGTCGACGTCTATTCCTGGCTCACCCTGAACACCGAGGCCTGGGGCACCCGCAACGAGAACGCTTGAATGATGACCTTGGGCATTGATGATGATTGGCTTTGATTAGAGACTCTGGGCTTGGGGGGCGACGGACCCTTCAGAATGGCTTTTGGCGTTTGGTACTAGATGGCATCTCGCACGGGAGGAAAGGACAGATACCCTCAAATTGGTAGATACAGATTGATGAATAAAAGTCTTTGACACAGGCATATGCTCATGCAGCACGCGACACGTCTGGCTTCTCAACCACACGGTCAAGCCTCCCCGGCTCAGATTTCCTGGTAATGCCAAGTCCTGAAAGCAGTTCATCCTGAAGTGAAAGCTGACTCCGCAGCAGGTCTATTTATGGTGAGCCTTTGTCATCGCTCGTGGCTACCGTACCCGGTCTACGAGCTCAGGCACGTAAGACGCCGATGGACCGACTCGCTACAATTGTAGTTGCAGCTACGAAGGGCCCAGTCAGAATTTCGGCGCGACCACCCAAGGTCGTTGCAACACCCGATCTAGTCGACGTTGAGGAATGACACCACACTCCAGAGTTACAGTCAAGACTCATCGCTCGTAATCGCGTTTGATGACTACTTGGGCTGAGGCTGACATCCACGGCAGGTTTGATTACTCGAGGAACTTTTGATGTCAGCTGAAGCTGAACTCAGGCCTCACCACCTCATTTAACTACTTCGCCAAGATGGACTGTCGCCTGTATAAGAATGTGTAACCATCACATACCATGCTTGATTGGCCTTCAGTCGCTCTCTATCACTCGTTAAGTTTTTAGGCTGTTGCCTTAGACGAACACAGCAATGTCTCAACTCGCAATCGGGAACCCTGTTCGCTTCCAGGACTGGTTCAGCACCTTCGGCCCCAGACTCCAAAACATATCGACTGGCGTCTGCAATGAGACCCTCAATGCCTACCTCGCGGACTACCGCAACCTGAATACTCGAACCTGCGTCCTCCATCTCGACTGCATCCTCACCGAAACCTCCGAGTCCACAAAGGCCAAAATCGCCTCCGCTGCCATTTTCCTCGGCATCCTTCCTTCAATGCTATCAATGATGGGTCCCTCGATGACCCAACTCACCCTGCTCTCCGCGCTTCGTCCCCTCCTGGCCATTCTCATCGCCTTGGGCAGCACGGCCTTCTGCCTCGATCGCCTGTTCCATATTGAAACCCCGGCCGACATCTTGTCCATGGTGCAGGGCGAACGATAATACCCCGAATCCGCGGCTCAAGATGGGGCATCGTCTTCAGTATTCTGGAATACCTATTCATTGGGGCTGCGGTATTCAATGTCATCAACCTAGCGGTGCGCGTTGGCGATTACACCGTAATGAGCTTCCAATGCAACATCTGGTTCTTCCCCCTCATTTGGGTCCTCTCCGTCACCTTCATCTTCCTCCTTGTCGCAGTACCGTTCCAATTCTCCGCCATCGTAAAGCACATCCGCAACCGCACGGGCCCTGGTAGTGTCAATCGGGTTGACGCGGGTCCGGAGGGCCCCGACGACACGCAGTGGACCCCGCTCCCGCCGCGGGCCGAGTGGGTTTCCCCGTCCGGCACATTTTCTCGGCAGAACAGCGGGACATCCGTCTCCAAATTCATGTTGAGAGAGCTCACCCCGGGACTTCGACACCCGTCGCTGAAAGTCGCCGAGGTACCGCAATTTGAGCCGTGGGTGGCTGTGATGTTCGGCGTCGGCTCGTTTTTCGCTGCGTTTCACATCATTCTGGGCACCGGTTGGTTCTCGTCCATTTTTTTTCCTGTCCCCAGGCGACGCTATCAGGGTGATCGTGAGGTTCTTTGCATCATCCGTGGTATGCAGGCTTGTTGTGATGGTGGAGTTGGCTAGTATGAAGTCGCAGGAGATGCCTCGGGGATAAAAATGATGGAGCGGGGATTGATTGAGTCATGAATACGCCCGCCTTTGAATCAAGTATCTCACTTTCTTCTAAAACAACATCTTGTCAAAAGGACATGAGAGCTTCAAATTTATTGGAGAACCTGGACATGAGAATTTCCGAAGGCATCGAATAGTTGGCTGCAATGGAAGCCTCTTGCTTACGCCCGGGTGACACGGCATGGAGTTGATCTTGGTTCTCCATGCGGGGAGCTATTACAGCGTAGAGCCTCACTATCAACAGGGGATCCGGCCTCACCGTTTAGCGGAAATAGATGTGACGTGTGTCAGGTTGCGCACAGCTCAGAGGGGGCCCTGGTGCCAAATAGCATGATTGAATAACTGTTTACCTGCGAACGACTTCTGAACTCTTAGGCACTGGATAGCTCCAGATCCCTAAGCGAGCCCAAGTACCTGAACCGAGTATCAACGAGAAACTATGGCGAAAGCTTTCGCAGCAGTCGGATGGAAGTAAAACAACAAAACTCTTTCTGTGTTATCTGGCGTATGCATCGTTGTTACGGGACATAAAATCCAATTCTTTCTATTCCTATCGAAGGTCATTGATTCTGTTGTTTGGCGCTGTGGCTTTTTCAGCTTTCGCCTTGCTCTCAGCCGAGCCCGGTCGCTTGGTTCTGGGGGAACACGACGTCGCACCCATGCCGTTGTCGGTTAGAGATGAACCAATCCATACCAATATCATGGAAACCAGTGAATGTCGGAATATCATGGAAACCAGTGAATGTCGGCGGCCTAGCTTGCCTTCGGTATGAAACCACCTCATTATTCGCAGAATATAGCTTCACAAGCCATACGAGGCAGCTCGGTTTCGCTCACGGACTTTGGGGCCGACGTGGCAGTACGAGGCGTTCGTTCCATGAAATTGGAATGGAGC